GGGGGGGGGGGGGTGTTCAGCCGTGCATGCCGTAGTCGTTAGACCATTGACCTCGTATCCCTACAAAGCCGGGTCGGAACGCCGGATTCTCACTGGACCAGGCCCTCACATCACCAAGAGCGAAACGTTCTGAGGTACTCCGCTCGGCGAGGCGCATGTAGGGTGCGCTGCCTAGAGGGTGCTTGGCATCTTGTGCTTAACTTCCTTACGTACGGATGTGAAACACTTGAGGGGGGGGGGTGTTATCTCCCGTCGTAATATGGTGAACAATAGGCGGCTTTCTCTCACGGTTCGTCCCGGTAGACGATGTACCCGATGAAGCCATAGAAGAACGTGATGAAAAAGATCAGGAACACCACAGGAACCATCCTGGTCAGTTAGAGGAGCGTCAACACATCAGAGAAGCACCGCCGTTGCCGGCATCATATCACACCGACATCGCCACAACGTGAGCGCCCCACACCAGCAAATGGAACCGATGGAACGCCGGTAAATCGCAAGGACGAGAAGCACCAGCAGCAGCAGCGTAAGCAGCAGCAGCAGCAGAAGCAGCAGCGTAAGCAGCAGCGTAAGCAGCAGCGTAAGCAGCAGCAGCAGCGTAAGCAAAAGCAGCAGCAGAAGCAGCGGCGTAAGCACCAGCAGCACCAGAAGCACCAGCAGAAGCACCAGCAGCAGCGTAAGCAAAAGCAGAAGCAGAAGCACCAGCAGCACCAGCAGCACCAGCAGCACCAGCAGTCACAGCGGCAGCGGTGGCGGCAGCGGCGGCGGCAGCGACAATAGGATCGAATTCAGCAGCGTCCGTTTCGTTAGCGTGAATCAGCCGTTCGCTCTCCAACAATGATAAGGCCTTATTCCCTCGTCCTTGTCTTGCCAATAGCACAACCACCACCACCACCAGCGACAAATATAAGAGCAACACCTAAAAAACGCGCGACAAGACCGAGGAAAACAAAACCACCTCCAATTGCTCTGAACATGGGCGATAGGAAATCAACCTCAAACTACATAGCATGCCCCCTATATTGCTCCTACTTTCCTCGGGAATTTGCGGTGTGATGAGGACCCTTTCCCCTACAACTGAAACACCAATGGCAATGGTCTCGTTTGACTTCGAAATAACTGCCAACGATCTTGGAAAAGAAAACGTTGTGCTGGAAAGAGGGACACTTGAAAATGGAGTAGCCGCTGCCCTCCACGGGAGCAGCTTCTCAGAAATTTCTCACCTGGGAAGCAGTCGGATGGTGGCTGCCAAGAAGTGCTTGAGGTACGTCCTTCGGCTGATAAACAAGAACGGCAGAATCACGTGCCTCCAACTGCGGAACAATAGAAACCGTGTTTTCGGGTGATTCGGGCGTCCGTCACAGGAGTGTTGTGCCCACGGGGGTTTCGAACCCCAGCACCGGTACACTGGGTATAGAGTCGTGGTCCCAGTTTAGTGGTTCCCTGTTTAGCGGGATGCCCTGAATAGCGGTCCCAAAATCTCGTGGCACGGCTGCACCTCGGTATATATTACTGCCAATCCGGTTTAGCACCGATGCCTTCAATAGCGGTTACAACATTTTGCGATATGGGCCGCTAAACCGGGACCACGATGACTGTATGGCAAAGCACCCAACGCCCACAAAAAAATATGATCTCTGTGTGCGTCAACACGCCCGCATGACGTGGACGCTAAGCCAAAATATGCCCACACGCGAGCACTGGTGCACTTGGTACATGGCAAAGCATACCACACCCATAATAAGAAAAATGTCCTCTGTGTGTGCCAACATGCCCACATGACGTGGGCGGTAGGCCGAACTCCACAAATAATAGTTGCTCTCTTTGTGCGTCAACAGCAAGTCCCGCCTGACGTGCAACAGGCGACCCGCCTGCGGTGAGCACAACAAAGGCCGGAAAACAAGACTTGCCTGAACCAAGTTACCCCGAAGACGTAGTGCGAAAACAGCTTCGCCACAAGGCTGACGCTGAGCACGGTCACCATGCACGTCCGTGCCAGCTGCCATGGGCGAAGCGCGCTCAGCGAATAAACTTCCGCCTGCGGGCGATCGCGCTCTAGTTCTTCTTCGTCCTCCTCTCCCTCGATCCCGCTCCAGCCCCCACTGGCGCCGCTGCCGCCGCCTCCGCCGCCGTTCTTTACAGGGATGCTTCCAAGTCTAGACAGGCGAAGAAGGGGGAGGGGGGGCGTACTATTATGTTTTGCATGCCTTAGCGGATAGACCATTGACCATCCGTCCTCGTCGAGAGGACGGAGCATTGTTCCCGTAGGACCAATCACCGATGGCCAATCGTTCTCGTTCCCTCCGAAGAGGGTGACCGAAAGGTGTGTAGCCAGGCGCCGGAACAGGTGGGACGATTACACACACATCACGCCGAGACAGGCACAAGAACACGATCGGAGCAAAAACGACAACGACGCGGGTAACGACGACCACAACGACATCCACAACCACAGCAACAGTAACAACATATCGGACTGACCTGGACAAGGCCTCCTGGCGGAGATGGCAGGTGTAGAAGACACACAAAACACACTCTATCCAAAGCGATCCCAGCGAGGTAGGCCGCCACCCTGTGCAAAACAAAAGAACGGCCAAAGGGGCGGGTGAAATAGTGGCGCATGATTGGCTACCTTGCAAGAGCGTAGGTGTGAGGGGGGGGAAGGGAAATACGTTATCCGCCGTGAGCGAGGTACGCAAGTAGGTCGCCGCACTTGTGCGAGAACGAAAGCATGACACGGCATGAACACAAACAGAACCAAAATAAACAAAATAGTGTAGCACATTTCGCCCTTCTAGACTCCTTGTGGAAGGGCGGAACCTTTACATTTTCGCGAGCGAGATGGTGGTCTCTCGGGCTTTTTTTGTTGTTGTATCTTGTTTTTTGGGGCAGGCCTTATTGTCACAAGCGGACGTTCGATTGTTTGCCTTCAAGACTTGCGAGATGGTAGGTAGAGGTGAAAAGGACTTGCAAAGTGTGAAGACCGACGACCCCGATCAGGCAAATCTCCCACTCGAAAAACGGGCAGCACGGGAAAGCAAGGGAAGGCAGGGAGGACTACGCAGGTAGGAAAGGGCTGGCAAAGGCGCCCCTGCTGTATTTCTGGGCGAACTCCTGGAAGGGCAGAGGGAAGGGAAAAAAACAACAACCAAAAAATGAGGCAAGGGAGACGTCGCTGTCTTACAAAGCAAAGACAAACGCCAAAAACGACAAAGAACAGAGGCAAGAGAGAGGTCGATGACCCACGAAGGAAAGCGGGAAGACAAAAAAATAAAAAACGAAAACAAAAAACAATGGCTGACCTAGGAAGAGGGTGTTGTCCTCCAAGGAAGCCGACCGCCTATGCGGGCCCATGCAGGACAGGCACCTCTGTATCTCCACCATGGGCAGGATGAGGTGGACCAACGTGCAGATATTCAACAGGCTGTTCCAGGCATCGTTCCGGAACCACTGATTTTTTTGTCGTCCACCCAAGACAGGCGCAAGAACGGGAAAGAGTGAGTCAAGAACCCCACTTCGGACGTGGTGTCACAGAATCGCGTTGAGGTGCAGCAGTGGGGGGCGCCCTCAGCAACGCTGCAATATCCTGACCAGCTGCAATATCCTGCCCAATTTTACCGGCACAATACAAGCAGGCACTCGACATTGTTCGGACTGCTGTGGTACGCAACTTCACCGGCTCCATTGGGGGCACCGTGACACACTCAAACCAGCATTACTGCGGGGGGGGCCACTGCTGTACTCCATAAATGGAGCCGTGGGTGCACCTCTCCCCACAGAAGGGAGGACGCCCCCCCGTGCTACCACGCACGCAAATATTTTTGTCACCTTCAACGCGCGTATGGACCTTTCGTTGTGGATGCACGCCGAGCTGTCTCTCCCTGCCAGAGCGTCCCGGACGTAAGTCGCGGCCACCTTATGTGCCGGGCGGCAGGAGGCGCAAAAAGCACCGCAAGTGGTGCAAAAACACAGGTGGTTTTCGCTGACGTTATGCATGAATTCGTTGCTGTTGTCCCAGGCTCTCATGTGTGGAAGAGCTGAAAATATCTTGTTGAGAGAAAAAACACGAATAACAATTCGTCGTACAGCAGTGGGGGCCCACTAGTAGCACCCTCGGCAACAAGCTGATTCCAATGGCCAGAAAAAAAGCTTCCTTGCTTAATGCGCGGGGCCCGAAGGTGAACTGTAGCACAGCCAGGATCCGTTTTTGTCCCAGCTTGATCAGCTCGGAGCCTTGTGTTCCCGGAAACAAGCTACCCCGAACGGGTTTCAATCCAAGGACAAGACGAGAAAAACAAAACTATTGAACGGAGCTTCACGTGGGCAGGCATCAAACAACGGCCTTGATTTCCCGGAAACAAGCTACCCCGAATGGGTTTCAATCCAAGGACAAGACGAGAAAAACAAAACTATTGAACGGAGCTTCATGTGGGCAGGCATCAAACAACGGCCCGAACGGAATGCCTGGACACTAAACGTTGCACCAAGATGTATACGTATATCCATGTCCTGCTTTGCGTTTTCTTTTTCTGCTAAACAAATAAATCTCTGAGCAACCTGCAGACAGTACATATTTCGTGCTCAAGGCTCTTCGCACCTCGTGTTTGTCGACGTTGTCGGCTAGAAGGGGCGTGATCGATTGGGCCATCAGCGGTTCCCTGCGTACCGTTCAGAATGAGAGCGATTGCGGAAAGGGGTGCTCCATTTTCTTTTGTCGAGTTTCGCCGTTCACCTCTGGACGGGTTATTATATCCTCGGCACTAGTGCTGTGACCACGGGTTGGAGTAAACGGCACTAGTGCTGTGAGCGCTGATTTGAAGTGAAGACAAAAAAAAAAAAAATCCTCGGCACGCATTGATCCCTCCCTTTGGTGGCAGGCCCGTAACGTCTCCTCCTACAAAATCAGTCTAGTGTAATTGCGACAGTGATCTTTCACCGTGCGGCGCCAGGCATCTTCTCATTCAGACGAGATGCATCAACACTTACGTCCTCGGGTAGTCCATGTCGGTGCTGTTCAACCGACCTCGGCTTTAAGCAGGCTACAGCGCGGGCGGGAAATTAACAATCGTTCCGTCTAGAAGTTCGAAGCCTCAATTTTTCGCGACCAAACAAGACGCTATAGGGTTAAAAATCACAGCTCAGAGGTCGGGGCTCCACCTGAACTCTTAGAACAACCTGTGCTCGACGATACCTACGAAATTCTTCAAACATTGAGCCGCCGACCCGAACTTAGTGAGCGTACTTTTTACAATTAAAAATAATGAATACAGCAAGATCAAAACAGGTGCGGGGCCTTTCTGTAGATACGTAATGTAGAGCAGTCAACTCACTCGGCTAGGAGCTGAAATGCTTCAAACATTGAGCCCCCGACCCGAACTTTGTCGGCGTATTTATTACAAACAGAAACAAAAAATACAGCAAGAACAAAACAGGTTGCGGGGCCTTTCTGTAGATACAGCAGTCAACTCACTCGGCTAGGAGCTGACATGCTTCAAATACTGAGCCCCCGACCCGAACTTTGTCGGCGTATTTACTACAAATGAAAACAAAAAATACATCAACAACGAAGCAGTGCGAGGCCTCTCTGTAGGTAGAGCAGTCAACTTACTCGGCTAGGAGCTTCCATCGCTCGGCTTTGGTCACGAGGTCTCTGCTGATGGCGGTAGCCACATCAGCTGTGGCGATTTCTTCGGCATCCCATGATGCCTCTGTTTACGAGCGTATCATCGCGTAGCGTAGGAGGAAAGCAGAGACAGGAAACGCGGCAAACAAGTGCTGTTGTAGTGGCGATTTCTTGAGCTTTCTATAGTAAGCCGCCTCTGCTTAGCGTGGGCGGTAAGAAGCGCCAGAGATTAAAAGAGCAGAAGAACACGAAAAACGATTATTGTTTTTGTGTCGCGCAAGAAAAACAAAAAAACGAGCAATAACATGTCTGTTGTTGCGCCGTGACAACCTACAGGAGAGGGGGCCGAGAGTTGTGTTCGTGTCGACAAAAATGGGAAAAGGCATAGCAACGACGGCAGCAGACCCCGATACAGCAGTCCAACAGGCAAACTTCACTACCAGCCGAATGACAGAGACAAGGCGGCGAAGAGGAGGTGAAGTTTCGGCACAGGGAAGATGCCGCAAGTTTTCGTGAGCTCGCTTGTGCTCCAGTCTTTCCTGGAAAACCGACAAAATACACAGAGTGAGACAACAGCCAATACGAAGCCGGATTGACTCTCGCTCGAAGCATGCCTCTTGATTTATTTGGAGGAAAGTCAATCCCCAACAACAGAGGAGTAGTAGGACAACAGCCAGTACTAAACCCGTTTGACTCGCGCTCGAAGCATGCCTCCCGATAGATTATAGATTCAGAGGAAAGCCAAGCTTGGGCAATTTATCTATCTTGCAATGATAGAAACAACTTGCCGTTTACGGCAGCGTGCCGTTTACGGCGGCCTTTGCTCTACTGCCGGTGGACTACCAGGCAAGCAGACCACTTTTTGGCGGGGGAACGAACGCCGGTTCGACGCGAAGGGAAACAAGATTCTTCCCTCGAACCCACCTTCCTGTGGGCGGGTGAAGAGGCCTAGGGGTGATACATCGAAGTGTTATGGCTGTAAAGCGCATCGGCTGGGCAAATAAAAATACTGTTGTGTAGGCGCCTACTTGTAGGCCATGTTCTGAGAATGCCGAGGAACGCACCAAAGCATCCCCAGTGACTAATTCGGAGGAGAGTACGCCTGGGCCATGTGTATGTCTTGCAACACACAGAAACAGGAAGACTTTTCCGGCGGCCTGCGCTCTACTGCCGGAGGACTTTAGGAATAATAGAAACACACACAGAAAGACTACCCATTCGAGATATACCCACAGTCGAACGGGATGTGGTGGAGCACCAGGCAGGCCACTTTGGCGGCACAACTAACGCCGGTTCGGCGCGAAGGGATGCCTCACACTCCCAACCCACCATCAGTGGAAGGCCGCCGCCCGACGACGCCTCCCGACGCCGACTTCGCGCGAGGCATCCCCGAATTCCCGGGCATCACCAGCGGTATCGTGAACGACCGCGCCTTGCCAAGGCCTCCTCCCCCTCCGCCGCCGGTGGTGGTGGTCATCGTCGTCGAAACCCGCCCGTCCGAGAGCCCGTACGAGGAGGAGGAGTGCGGCATGCCTTGCCTGGTTGGCCCTGCTCCTCTTCCACCCCCGCCGTCAAGAACGCCACCGCCAGCGCGGGAATCGCCGTTGCCGAAATCGACGCCGCCGCCGGTGTTGTAGCCCGGCGCCCCTCCGTTATGTCTGCTTTCGCCTCGAGGCCCCCTGGAAGAGAAAGTCAGGAGTGAGAGCCTTGATGTCGACGCCCCGCGCCTTATCCAACGGTTGTCGTCATCGCCGTCGCCGCCGCCGCCGCCGCCGCCGCCGCCGCCGGTGGGGGCACGTCTGCCGTTCTGCAGTAACTCTGGCCAGCGAATCGCGCGTAGAGTGGAGGGAGAGCCGGCGTGGGGTTGAGGGGGGTGGGGAGGGGGTGTACTCATGCAAACGCATGCCGTAGTCGTTAGACCATTGACGCATCACGACGCATCACGACGGTAGAACCGGGACGGAGTGATATGCCCGGTTTTTGTCGACCCAGAGCAGGGTAACGATGATACTGGTCATCATTCTCGCGTTTGCTGTGCCAAACCAGATACGCCAGAGGGGGTGGGGGGGGAAGGAACGACTCATGCTGATTGTGAGAAAAATGAAGTTCCTAGGCAGTTGCCATGTATGTGTCTCAACGCCCGACTTGGATGGCCTGAGCCCACAACTGCAACACCCGACAAAATAGACGGATCCTGCAGCAGCAATTGCAACAACTATTGTAGAACATCCAACCCGCTTCGCTGTAACATGAAGAAGGCAGTTGGCTAGTCCTTTTCACGAGATGCCGGCATGGCCTAATGCTCTGCTACGCCATATCAGAGGTTCAACTGCTGCTTTGGAGATGACTCAGCGTGCGGTGCCAGCGTGCGGTGCCTCTTTCATGTTATTTTTTTGGAGGAATAGTATGCTTAGCACACCATCGATCAATACCAACTCTGTATACGAGGGATCGTCCATCGTTTTTATGGAATCTGCCAAAGGTGGTGGGAACAGCAGTTTGTGTGTTGAAAGTTCTACTTTCATGTCGCAGCAAGATATGAGTACGACCTCGAGATGAACCTGGGGAGTGTCTGGTGTGCTTCGCCTACTGCTGTAAGTCTGGCTCTTTAGGTCGGGCTGGGTGATCCGAAGGCCCGTCCAAAAAGCTGCCGAGCACAAATAATTGAAGCAACTGCTGTGTATCGATTGATTTAAACGTCGTACTACTGATGTTGCAGGGTGCTGCACACACGCCAAACCCTTGATTGATGAACGCAATGCATGTCCCCTACACTAGGTACCGACGGGTTCAGCCAAGTTAACCGTTGCAACAGGTTCTCCGCTTCATGCTGACTGCTGCAACAGGTATCGATAAGTCCCCCCCCCTCCATATTGACAGTTGTAAAAGGTATTCATATTTTCTTCATCGGCCTATTGAAATATCCAGCAGGCGTTGATGCACTCCTTGAAACCTATCGCGAGGTTCACCGACTTGCGATATGATATCGTGGCACCTATTGAAATAACCAACATGTTAAGCCGAGACACTCCAGCACCTGTTAAATCGACCCTATAAATATTGGCAGGGACTTTGCAAATGCCTGTTGAAATGTCGAACAGGTGTCGATAGGCTGCTGCAATACCTAATGTATGGACCAATAGCCTGTCCAATAGGGTATTATCGAGGGTGTGTTCTACATACATACGCGCGCGGTTTTGTTCCTAGCCTTTGTTGTTGTTTGCATGCTTCCGTGTGGGACATGCGAAGGCTTTTCTTCTGAAAGTAGTCCATGCATCGGCAAGAAATCCTTCGTTCGTGTGTATGTAGGGCACGTCTTCAATAATGCTCCAACGCAACCGATATTGCCTTCCTTACGAACTCGAGAGTGAGCGGCCTCTTTAGTCTATAGCAGCATGTGTCATGTGTTGGATGTTGCTCGCTGAGAAAAGTTGCAAACAGAGTCAGCCACCCGCGGCACCAGCAGCAGCAGCAGCAGCAGCATGCTGAGCTTTCTGCTGGTTTAGTCTTCGCGTTTTGTGTGTGCAGGAGTAAGTAACTCTTCGTCCGCCGACGAATGCTATGCAATGATCCAGGGTCGCGTGCAGCTCTTGAACTTGAGAGGAGCAGCGGTGGGCACAGATCGGCTAAGGTGCAGGCTGCCGTCAGCGATCATATTGGAATCGCAAGTCCCGAATCTCCGGAGCGGTTCAGCGTTCACATGCGCACAAGATACCACGCCCCCTGAGCCGATTTTCAAAACTTGAATGCTCTGCAGCAAGACTGCTTGTACTGCTGTGCCGAGTACGGCGATAATGGAACCCTTTCGTCGGGATCTTTCCGACAACGATTCCCTTGATCTTTGGGCATACTCCTCTTGGCGGAGTACTGTATTCGAGCTTTGAAATTCGGGCAAAGGAGTGTGGTATCTCAACGGGGTGTAGTATCTCAAGTGACCTATTTATTACTATTATTGTAGAAGACGTATGCATACTGCTGTATACGGTGACATAATACAGCAAGCCATCCTGAACAACATTGCGGGCGGCTTGGTTTCTGGCAGTGTGGGAAAAGCAACCTGACCAGCGGTGTAGTTATCAGCCCCGCGGCCAAACCGTTATTATTGCTGTGACGGCGGAAACTCCGGATAGCGATGAACCTCCACCCAGTGACATGCATACATACATGCCTTTGGAACCAATAATAGCAGCAGAGCGGCGAGAGGCATCTTTCAGGAAGGCCCACACACTGGAGACAGCGGCAGCAACCTCGTTCGTTTTGTCAAGGACGCACACAAAGGCATGTGACTCACCGTCACTCTCCATCTATCGGCTACTGCTGTCTGCTGATGAAGTTGTGCAGCAGCAGCAGCAGCAGCAGCAGCAGCAGTATGGCAGTACTGCTGTAGCGCGGCCTCTCTCCGTCTCTTCGACACGGAGGCCACGGCGTATGTACGTGGTAGCAGTTGGTTGCCTTTCTGGGAACCGCGATTCCCTGAAGGCACGGCTGATACCTGCGGCTGTCGCCTTCGTGTGCCGTGTATCTTGTCCTCTCTAACGTACGTACTGCGGTGCTATGATAACGTGTTCTGATTACAGGGCTGTTGCTGCTGCTACTGCCGAAATTCTTCTCCTTTTCTTCCACTTCTCCGAAAGGACTGAAGGGTCTCCAACATTCATGTGTCACTCATGTGCCTGTACCGCGACGAGGAGGGAGAGCTTCAACGCAGCCAGTAGGATTTGGCCAGCCACGCTGAGAGCAGCTGACTACGACAAGAGCGGCCGCTAGAGCTAGTTTTCTGCCTCGAATCTCCTCAATCGATGACTGATTCCAAATTCCAAAGATTTATTTGTTCATCTACAAGCTGTAGTCTATACCGCTTGCAGAGTTCCTACGATAGATACTTGCGGGACAGATTTTGGAGGGAATCGTGTGTGTTGCTGATGCGAGCACCGAAAACACACGTCACTATTGAAAAAGGCGACCAGCTGAGCTACCCTATGCCGAGGGCCAATGAAATCGGCCACAGCGATACTCAGGACACAGGTGGATCTAGTGTACGCTGTCTGCTGTTGGTACGCCCGGAGCCCGGAGTGATTGAAATTTGAAAATGCGGCGGGACCACCAGCTTCTCGCAAACTGCAACAAGGTTTCCAACAGAAAGTTTGAAGGATGTTTCGCGAGGGCAGCCTAATCATGCACTACTGTCTGAAGTCTGCAGACCGCCCTCGCGTGTACCTCTCAAATCGCGGTGCGGGAAGAGCTGTCATTGCAACCTTGAAGATCAAGTCCATCATCCTCCAGACCAGTCAACGTTTCTGGCCATAAGCATCGTTCTTGCTGAAATCGCGTTCGCTCGTTTCTGTCCGGAAAAGAACTGCACTCGGCCATTTGGGAAGCAGCGCGGATACTGCTGTATGTAGCAGCGTGAAAGACGTCGCAGCCGCTGACCCTACCCTTTCTTGCAGCTAGAAGCAACGTAGGACTGCTGGTCATCACGCTGTCCATATGATCGACGAATTCCTTGCGCTAATTCATGGTCTTCTTTCCCGTGGAACCCAGGGTCATATTTAGGCGCATCAATCCAAGAGAAAACCACGCATTGTTGCAAGAACAAAGAAACAGTCCACAAGTCGGAACAGCCTAAAGCAAATCTGATCTTTTCTGAGAGGAAAGATCACAAATGGAACCGCCACACAACGAACTTTCCAAGAAAACCCCGACACGCCGTGATGATGTCGGCACGTCAAACTTGTATTGACGCTGTGCAAACACTGCGTAGACAGAAAGGGAACCGCACCACTGGTTTATATGTAGAAAAATCAAAGTTTCATTTGTTGCCCTATAAATCAGGACGTCTCCGTCACCTCCGCCTGTCAAGCCGTCTCGTATGTACCTCGCATGCATACCGCTCATCATCAAGGCGTTGGGCGAGAGAGTCACGAACCGAAACACACGCACCACAATAATACAAGAATCATAACACGGCAACCACCATCATAGAAACTAAGATGATACGCCGCCAACTCGTGTTGCTGCTACACTGGTGGACACAAAACGACCCGGAAACCCTACAGCACTGCCGCCGCTTGACTTTCGTTTTGTATCGTACATGATCACTTCACACGAGAGCACCGTCAGCCGGACGTCCGGTTTGCGTTGTCGCCGGCAGCACCGCCTTTCGAGGACGCTTGGTCTAACCGTTAAAGCATGAAAAACGCGACAGTACGTCCTGGTCTAACCGCTACACGACTTTCGTCTTGTATCGAGCTTGCGGCGGCAAACGCCTGTTGTGTGTCGTTGCGTGTACGGCAAAACGACCGTTCCCTTTGTCGTTGTCGAGTCTTGTCACCGCCGCAAGTGCATCGGGCTTGCGGCAGAAAAAGCGTTTTGCGTGCCGCCGAATAGTCCACGTGCCCCCGGGCGCCAGGCTTGCTGCAGAAAAGATCGTTTCTTTCGCGTGTCGTCGGACGCGTCTACCTATCACTGCAGTGCACCGGGCTTGCGGCAGAAAAGCCGTTTTCGTATGTCGCCGCATCGCTCGGCACCGCAGCGTATCGGGCTTGCAGCAGAAAAGTGCCGGTTGAACGCCGTCGCGGAGCCGGTCTACTTGGTGCTCGCTCGGGCCTTGCGGGACCGAGGGAACGTGAGCGGAAGCTTGAGGTGCGCGCTAGTGTTGGTCGCAGTGCAGCCCTGTCACACAGAACGAAAACATGCCGTGTACCGAACAAGTGGAAAACGAGGGGGGGGGGGGGGGGGTTGGCGATATTCGAACGTCGTGTTGGGAAGGGTACGAGTTGGTGTACGGGCGGGATCTCGTATTCAGAGACAATACAAGTTTTGGCGTAGGCAATTCAATCTTCCCTGGTACGGCTGTTGACGAGGCCAAAAGACCACTGCAGGCCGCGCTGCGCAAAACTAAAAGATTAAGGAAAATCACGCCATTTTCTGTGGTACATGCACTTTAGCCTGTGACCACGGCAATCGACCGCGTCAAGTGTTAGAAGGTACGGACAGATGAACGTACTGGATAGAGAGAGATCGGAACGGTTTTTCGTTAATGTGAAGACAACAACAACAACAACGGCCCAAAGCACAAGCCTTGACGTCGACGGAGCCTGCCTCACCCACGACGGGTAAACGGTAATAACCAGAGAGATCGAACCCTACACGGATTTCGCGAAGACAACAACAGCAACACACAGCGAAGTCAAAAGTCAAATACAACTAAAAACAATCATCTAGACGTTGAGTGAGCCTCCCTCCCGCCTCACCAGCTCGCGGAGCATGCTCCTAGCCTCCGCGGTAGACAGCCTGAAGTCCTCAGCCAGGACACCAATCTCCAAGCGGCACCCCTCCAGCACGAGGGCGAGGCACAGGGCGTGCACCACGAGCTGGTTCTTGAGGGTCTTGGTGCGGACGTAATTGGCCGTCCCGCCCGCACCCTTCTTCTCGCAGACGCTGAACTTCTGCAGGTCGAGATGACGCAAAAAAAAAACACACACACACAAACACGCACACACAAAATGTGTATTGATCATGACACGGTTTCAAGCGGAGTATTGTATTCGATATCGCGTTGGCCGTTCTTGGCAGTGGGGGCGTGTGCTCATAGCCGCGCATGCCGTAGTCGTTAGACCATTGGCCTTTCATCCCTAAAAAGCCTGGGCGGAGCACCCTGTGGGGGACGCGTACTCATATTTTGCATGCACTGGCTAGACCATTGACGATAGGGGGGAAGGGGCATGTTGCGGTAAAAGTCAGCAGTAGAGGTCCCTCCCTGTACACATGCATCACAGTACTTGTATCGTATTGAATCGCATGTAGTGCTTGGAAAATCGCTTTAAACGTTTCTCGAAGCTCCGCCCTGACGGCAGCATAAACAAGGCGGTCGCCCAGCATTAGGCTGGTGAAATCGGTCGGCACTCTTTGCGGGCTTATACAGGACCACTACTGGTGGAGTCTTCCAACCTTCAACGGTACGAGGTAAACCTTCACAAAACGAACTAAAGACAGCAAAACAAAAACAAGCACGGAATAATTCCATACACCCAAAGCCCACCTCGAGGAGACGCCTCAGCACGATCTCGGGGATGTCCAGCTTGGCGGACAGCTGCGCCGGGGTGCCCTTGAGAAGGGCGCTAGCGTGGTGAAACACGCACATGTGCCGCAGGTATAGCAGCTGCGGTGATATAGCGGTGCGGCAGCATCGCCGTGCGCGGGAACGACAATCACAAGCAAGGGTAAACATGCCACGTGTGTTGGTCGGGCAGTCGTTGTTGTCTTCGGATGTCTGTTGTTGGGTGGTCTCTGCTGTCGGGATGTTGCTCGTTGTTCACCTCTTCTGTCGCCTTTTGGCCGTTAGAGTTGATGTTGCCAACGGCACCACCACCACCACCAACAACAACAACAGCAACAACAACAAACCAAGAGGTTCACCTCTGCTGTCACCTCTTGGCCGTTAGTGTTGATTTTCTTGCCAACAGCAGCAGCAGCAGCACCGCCACCACCACCACCACCAACAACAAACTATGAGTAAAACAAAGCAAAGCAAACAACAACAACAACAACAACAACAAAGACGTTCGTCAGAGCTACTGTACGGGCAACACCGTAAGCGCACCTCGAGCATCCTCCTCTTCTGATTCCTCTCCCCGAGGTCTAGGAGAAGCGTCAGCCGCTTGCCGACGAAATGAGGGCAGCTCTCGCGAGGGCGCTCCGCGAAATCCTTTGCCCACTGGTGCATACCCCCCTGCAGCGAGGGAAAGAAAAACATAGGCGCCGAGACCAAGTCAGATGTGTTAGGGATAGGAGGGTATACGTGTATGCGGGGGGGGGGGGCATCTGTGTACGGGCAACAAATACAACGTACAGCGTAGAGAGGCTGAAACCGTCCATTGGAGCACAACATGTTCCTCGAGGGAGTGTAGGAGCACATGCAATAGAAGTGGGTCACGGTGAAGTTGTGGCAATTTTGGCTGGTCGATCGTAACTACATCCCCCCTTCGCCGCACAATCGAAACCACTCAACTATTACCACAACCACCACCGCCTTTATCTCCACCGCAATCACCACACCACTAGTACGACACAACGATAACCCACCCACCCCGGCCACCACTTCATGCGACTCCCCGAATACCGAACGGCGCTTCGCGCTTGGTGAAATGAGAGCCTGGTCCGGTGAGAACCCGGCGTGCTCCGTCCCGGCTTTGTAGGGATGCGAGGTCAATGGTCTAACGACTACGGCATGCACGACTATGAGTACACCCCCCCCCCCGGCCACCACTACGCCATACCCTCCACACGGAAGTCGTGATCAAATCCCATCCAGGGCCGGCGCCAGCTCTCAGGCACCGTCTGCTTCGGCCTGGCACCTCTGTCGGCGCTACCGGCGTTCTCTACCGGCGTTCTCAACACCGCCACCGCAAAAAATCGAAACCTATCACGTGTTTTTTTTTTGTGCCGCCCACCCACCTCAATTTGCTCAGCCGCCCTGTCGATCTCCCTCTCCATGGACTCCAGCTCCTGGACGCCAGCGATATCGCCGGCCGAGTACACCCCCTCCGGCGTGGACGCCTCCGTCCGCATCTTGGGGAGGAAACGACGGCGTGCTTCTTCCACCGCAGCTAAGGCGCCGTCCGTAGCGGTGGGATCGCCGTCAACTCCGCCTGCGGGTACAGCAAGCAGGCAGCGAGGGCCCGCAAGTTTAGGACATGCTCCGAAAAATGAACTGTGTTGACATCGACAACAACGACTCTTTATGGAGCAGCGGCGGCGGTGGCAACAGCGACACCCACTACCCAACCCCCACCACTATCGAAACAACACGATCAACATCGGCAACAGCAACAGCAACAACAACAACAACAACGACAACAACGACAAAGGCATAGGTAGCAGCAGCGGCGGCGGCGACATCTACCACCACCACCGACTAAACCATCAAAAACAGCAACAAGAGCAAGAGCAACAGCTCACCAGCCCCGCCGCCTTCCTCCTCCTTCAACGCCCGACCCAGAACGCGCGACATGGCGGAGCCCCCGACCACCGAACCCGCCTGGATCACATTAGCGTCTCGAGATCTGACAAGAAAAAAAAAGAAGGAAAACGCACATTAACTCGCGCATGAATTTACAAGCGCATCTTCATGGGTCAGCCGGCCGCGTCTCGAGAGGTGACGAGAAAAAGAAGATAAAAAAAACATACCGACCACGCGTATGGAAGTCTATGTTCATGGGTCAGCCTGCGTCGTCGATATCAAAGAAAGAAATGTAACAGTTACTTCACGATTTTTTGTCGTCGTCCATAGCAAAGAAATAAGAAGGTTGGTTCTTTCGCGAACGCCTGTTTATTACTCATATCGATCTTCGGTTATCGTTGATCTGGGAGGACTCAAGTGCTATCATCCGTTGGTGACACAAGAACACACAAGCCACGCAAAAACTCACGCACTTTTATGCTCGTGTTTCTATCCCGCTAAAATGTTTTCGTCCTTTTATTGGTCAGCCAGTTACCGCGGTCGATGCTAACTTAGAAACACGCACGCACACAGTGTTCGTCTGTTACTGCTACGGTATCTGTCTTAGTACGGAGGGTAGCAGAGCCTCCCCAATGACGCCCCCTCACGGGGTCCCATATCACGGCCTCGAGAAGCATTCTGTGTGTTCAATCGCACTCAGACTGACATAACTTCATTGCTCAGCCGCTTACAGCGTGGTCGATGCAAATAAAATATAACCCAAGTAAACACATACAAACAAACAACACATGCTCCTTCGAAAGACAGAACAACACACACACACCTAGAACCGCCTTCGCGAGAAACTAAGTTTACGGTTGAATAGAACAGAGAGGGGGTACGCAGCTCCTATCCCTATCCCTAACCCCATCCCCGACCCGACTTTCCAGATTGCATGTGTTTATCCCAATAAGTTTACCTCAACGATAAAAACAAACCTGATGGCGGCCTTCTTCTTCTTGCTGCCGAACTGGTTCACCAGGGCGTCCTTCCTCTGCTTGTACTCCAGCCCCTCCATGGCGAAGTCCTCGATGTTATCGTCCTTGTCCCCCACGCTCTGGCGGAGGGAGTAGGCGTGCCCCGCTTCGTGGAGGATGAGTTCTCCGGTGGCTCCGTCTTCCACGCCCACCAGGAACCTTCCATGGAATGACCAACGATTACCAGAAAAAAAAAAAAGTACATATATATATAGAGAGAGAGTGACTGCGTCCGGCGAGGAACCTTCGGAATGGCGAATGATTTTCTTTTCGTTGACTGTGAACGTAAGCACAAATCAAAACAAAAAACTCGTGTCTCACGAACACTTCAGAATGACGAACGACATGTGAAAACATGAACACACACAAAAACAACGATTTGACATTATCCCACGTATGAAACTTCGGAAAAACGTAAACGATGGTACGGGGTGGCTCAAGCTCTGAAGACACCCACTTACAGAACACACGAACAGGGCGCCACCAGCAACAAGGGTAGGTAGTAATAGCTTCATCTAACACGGCGGGTGCCACAAAAGGTAAAGAAAGGCGGAAGCAGAGACGTTCCAATCGTCACCTGCACAAGTCGTTAGACTCCGCCCCCGGTCCGAAGTTGAGCCCCCAGTAGTCCATCCTGCCACAGCATCACGTAACGGGCCCAAACATTAAAACGGCGGCGGCGTCCGATGGCGGCGGCGGCGGCGGCGGTGTACGCATTTTGTTGCGGTTTTCACATTTAACAGTCTCTGCTCAGTACCCCTAATATTTGCACTGGTCCAACGGACGCGGGCGCCTACGTGCGTTTAACAAGCGATCCGAAACTTGGGGGTGCTTGTGGAGGTGGGGGGTGGACATGTGTGCACTTGCGGAGCGCTGCCGCATCGGTTACACCCAATACGCCGCGTACGTGCGTTTAACAAGCGATCCGAAACTTGGGGAGCTTGTGGAGGTGGGGGGGTGGACATGTGTGCACTTGCGGAGCACTGCTGCATCGGTTACACCCAATACGCCGCGTACGTACGTTAAACAAGCGATCCAAGATTTCGGTAATTAACTTGTGACGGTGGGTTGGATACTCGCGAAGATGGGCATCGGACATGTGTGCACTTGGAGATGTTGGTTGCTTCATGTACCGCAAGAGGCCGAGAGATGGCACAGCCCCTGGGGACCGATTTCCAAAGCTCGATTGTTTCACGACCAAGATAATGGTGCCAACACGATAAATGGTGGTTTCGGAAACACCTCGTCCACGACTTTCCGTTGACGCTTTGGGCTCGTTCAGCATCCACTTGGTTTGAGGAGAAATAGACCCTTGAGAGTCGGTTTAGGGGGGGGGGGGCCATCTCTCCGCCTCTTGCGGAATACCACGGTACGGTATACGGTACGGTACAGACAATCATGGTTGTGGAGAAATCGAGCTTCGAGAGTCGGTCTAGGGGGGGGTACCATCTCCCCGCGTCCAACGGTACCGCACTTCAGTGATAACGCCCAAAGATAATACGACGCGGGCGGCGGCGTTGGCGTACGTGCGTCAAACACAAGTGATCCTGCCTTGGGATACTGGTGGAGATGGCGGTTGGATTGGACACCTCTGGAACAAGACTGCACCAGTCTATAGACCGCCAACAGATAGACCCACACTTACGTGCCGTTCGTTGCATACCGTGTTGTACTACACAAGATAACACCCCCTCGATCGATTTGCAAAGCTCGACTACTCAATAAAGAAGACGATGCATAACTGAAACGATACGTTTTCGGAGCGCTCTCGACCAGGCGACTTCCGACTTCAACGCCGCCGTTTTCGGCGCTGAAACTCTTTCTGCTACATCGACAATTCGGCGCTGAAACTCTTTCTGCTACATCGATAAATCGAGCATTGAAAGTCTGCCCAGGTGTGTTATCTTCTGTCGTATATACGAGAGGAACCCACACCCGGATCGATTTTCAAGGCTCGATTACTCCATTACAAAGAGGCTGCCGAAATCAAATGGTTATTGCACGTGTTCGGAAAGCTCTCGACGGAACGGTTCCAACGCCGCCAGACTCGGCGCCGCCACTGTTTCTGCTTCGAAAATCGGTCCAAGGGGTGTGATATCTTACGCAACCTACGGTAACTATCTCCCGGCACAAGTATGACGGTTGTTGTTGTTGTGGTTTTTTACAAGAAAAAATAACTTTTAAGGAAAAATAAATACACACACAGAAAGACTACCCATTCGAGATACACCACAGTCGAACGGGATGTGGTGGAGTCTTTTCAGCGAGTGGAGGAAAACCTAACCTCACAGAAAGACTACCGGTTCGAGATGTAACCTCAGTGGTTTCTTGTCTTCTGGTTTTTTGTCTTCGCGTTAAAAACCGTTCCGGTCTCTGTATGCAGGCGCGGAAAAGCCGGCGCAACTGCTGTGTTGGACGATTATCTCCCGCTATACATGTACACTGGCAGAAACTGCACTGCTTTCCACCGCATCACACCACACACCACACAGGAGGGCACACGGCAGATGACGTGAGATATCACCCCCCCTCCTACTCGACTACGAAGAGGACGCTTACGTTGCACGATACGTTTTCGTAAAGCTCTCGGCGAGACAGTTCCAACGCTGCCATACTTTCCGGCATCGAGTTGTAATCGAGCTTTGAAATCGGCCCAGGGGGTGTGCTATCTGCCACCAGTACAGAGGTACGGCTGCAGCAAGGGCCCTGCTGTGAGTACTTTTGGTGTGGCTGCAAAAGGGGATATTTTTAACGTAAAAAAAAGTGGTATGATTGCACTGCTGTTGTCAAAGCCCTCATTCGATAATGAGCAACAGCTGATGAGCTGATGTACAGTCAGAGGAAGTGCCCCTACCCCTGCGCTCGTTCCTCTATCAATGTTTGAACCTGCTGCGGACGATCCTCGAACCAACCAACCACGCATACCTGCCACCATCGCCCATGACAATCTTCTGCCCTTCCCTCTCCTCATCGTCTGCCTCGTGCATCCGGAACTCAACCGCGCTCATGTCTCCAGGGACAGTCTGGTTGGCGAACGACACCAGTATCGGGCCCGCGGAGCCCTCCGCAGCACGGCGCAGCACCACCTCTCTGCTGCTCGGCGCTCGCTTCCCACCACCAGCACCAGCGCCGACAACACCTCCCTCCGCGAGGCCCTCTTCTCTTCGCCTCTTCTTTGACTTCTTGCTGGATCTCTCCGCATCAGGGTCATCGCCCGGCGCCATCGATGCTCTCTTTCTCCCCATCGCGAGAGATGTCCTCGGTCGCCCGTTGGCCTAGCGCTGCTGTGTCTCCTGCTGCTGCCACCGTACACATGCTTGTTGTCGCGCCCGCGACGGCGGCCGAGTTTGTGCACCCCCCTCAAAAAAGGTTCTTGATTCCACGTACCCCCCGCCGCGGGCCTCCGCCACGGGAGCTTCCCGTCAGCGCAGGTCAGAGGTGTGTAATTAGCGTCTGCTGCGTGCCAAGATGACTAACTGCCGGAGATTCCTAGGCTCTGCCGCTGCCGTCGTGATGCTGTCACGCGGCGCTCACTGTTTCGTAGCGCACGGTTCGTTGCGCTTCAGCTCCCGTCATGTGGTTGGCTCGGGGCCTCACCATCACCGGCGATCAACCGCCAGAGTCTGCGGCAGCGACGGCCGACAGCAGAGCCAGGGTTCTCATGCGATGACGGCAAGCGGTGAGCCGTGGTAGTGGTGTGGATCTCTAGCAGTTTTGGTGTGCGCTGTGGAGGTTGCGAAGTTACTCGAACCTTCGGTACACGGAAACATGAACAATGATCCACCCCCAGTCCGAGGACGACAGGCACTCGGTTGCAACTCGGTGTGCATGAGGTGCATGTTGGGGGCATTTTGGTAGACCTTCTGCTATACATTCTGATGTAATCCTGGGAGCACGACCAGAACACTTTTGCCTTATGGAACGGATTCGGGTTATGTCTTCGCAACGACTCAAACACATGCATCCACGACACCTCTTCGGAAGGAATGGATAGATATATATGTATGACCCCCTGTGGACCGATCTTCAAGGCTGGGTCACTACACGCTGTACCCCGGATCGATACATATAATTAATTCCTGCTTTGCGATTTCATGTGCACAGCAGAAAAAATGGCGGGGATGCAAATGGCGGCGTTGGAACCATCTCGTCGAGAGCTTTCAGAAAATGTCGAATTTGACTTTAAAGAAGACATGCTCTTCGTCGCCGAGTAATCGAGCTTTGAATATCGGTCCAGGGTGTGTGGTGTCTTACGTCATGTCACGTACTGCTGCTAACGCAGCAGAAAGCCTTCCAGGGGGGCGGTAAAGCGTGAACTTGCACCAACAACAACCGTGACGGTGCAAAAAATGGCGGCATTGGAACCATCTCGTCAAGAGTTTTCCGAAAAAGCATCATTTTGGTCTTGGCACTCTCTTCGTCGTGCAGTTGTCGTGCAGTTGTCGAGCTTTGGAACTCGGTCCAGGAGGTGTGATATCTTGTGCAACCTAGGGCAGTAGGCGGAAGAGAAGGAATGATTGCAAACAACGCGAGGGATCGATACGACTTTCAATGTTGTTCCTGCTGCTGGTACGCTGCTTATTTTCCATCTGTTCTCGCTGGCAGGCGTGGACGAGGCAGCAGCGTCATCACCAGCGGGGGCGATGGACAGGAAACAGCTTCTGTCCAAGGTATGCACGCGCAGCTACAGCGTTAGTTCTAAGCCTCCATCCGCACCCTCCACTCACCGGCTGTTCATGCCGGAGGTTGCGCAAGGTATCACAACCCCTGGATCGATTTTCAAAGGTCGACTAGGGCACGACGGCAAGGATGCAAAAATCAATGCGGCGCGTTTTCGGAAAAGCTGTCGAGGAGACGGCTCCACCGCCGCCGCCATTTTCCGGCACCGTCGCCGGTGTTTTTACTGCTGCAGAGTACGCGACCTTTGAAAAATCGGTCCGGGGGGTGTGGTACTACGCAACGTAAGGCACTCCTCGTCGTTTTTGCGCGGCGCATTGGGTCGCCTTCATTACACTACCACGTTCAAACCTTGGCCGCCTGCAGGGTTTCTGTTACGGTATACTATTAATAGTGCGATGTCCAACTTCTTGTTGATGCTGTGTATGTAGCCTTCACCTATGCACGGGCATGACGAAAGGGCTCCTATTTGTACTTGCTATTTCTGTGTCTTCCGGCAGACATGGTTCAAGAACAACTCAGATGCCTAGCTGTTGGTACGATGTGTCGGTGTGTGTCCCGATTCTCGCTCTGAAATTTGTGGTTGTGAAAAAAAAATGTGGGCAGGTGTGGAAGGCTGCTCTCTCCCTCTCGGCGTTGGGCGCGGCGGCGGTGGCCACGGGAGGTGCCACACCTGCCGAAGCAGGCAAGTCAGTGACCTCACACACAGCGGATCGGAAAACACCAACAGGGACTATTTTAATACTTTTATCGCGGGTAATTTAGGTTTGGAGATCGAGCATTCATGCGACAATCGAACCCTTACCTTCTTTTACTTTTATATATATATAGGTTTTTTCGTGGGTACTTGAGAGCTCAAGTTCATGTTTTTTCGTGAGAATCGCACCTCAAGCTCTACAGTGGCGGGGGCTTCTGTACCTACCCCCTTTCGACCAGCCCCAATCGCGGGGTGACCACAACCACCTTACCGGTAGGGTATGCATACATGGCCACAACAATCAACTTACCGAAGGTCGTACATGAAGTTGGCGTGGATACATTGCCCGCCCACTCATGAGAAACCCCCTTTTACACTTTTTTCAGCGAGGCTACGCCGTAGTTCATGCGTTCACTTTCGTCGCTAATCCTTTGCCTCGCCGATGTTTTGTGCCTCCACCGATCTATGCTGAACCGGTTTTAGGCATTAATATTGCGTCGGTACACTCCTAGCTTGACCTTGTTCCGCCAACCGGGTCTTCCCTCACAGTATTTTTTTTGTCTAAATTAAAAAAAAAAATGATTGTATTTTTCACGGTGAGGAAGAATGGTTGTGCCTGTGTAGGTGATTGGGTAGTGCGGGCCTCCGCGTTGTTTGCTGAACTTTTCCCTGTTTTATTACTCCCTCTCTGATTGTTTCTGCACACGCGTCTGTTTGTCATTCGATTTCCCTCTCTCTCTCTCTCTACACCCTTCTCTCTGTCTGTCTGTCTGTCTGTCTGTCTCTCTCTCTCTCTCTCTCTCTCCTCTCTCTCTCTCTCTCTCTCTCTTCCTCGCTCTCTACATCCTTCTCTCTGTCTGTCTGTCTGTCTGTCTCTCTCTCTCTCTCTCTCTCTCTCTCTCTCTCTCTCTCTCTCTCTCCCTCTCTCTCTCCATCCTTCTGTCTGTCTGTCTGTCTGTCTGTCTCTCTCTCTCTCTCTCTCTCCATCTCTCTTTTTATCCATCTCTCTATTTATCCATCTCTCTATTTATCCATCTATCTATCATCTACATATATTGCAACTTCTCTAGCCCTCTCTGTTCTCTCCACTACACCCCGTTTTCCTCCACCTGTCTACCTTGGCGTACAGGGATTGGCCAAGATATCGGTGGATTTTTGTTGCCTCCCCAGAACCAGCCAACAGAGATCGTGGTGGGCGAGTCTGACAAGGAAGTCTCGTTCGAGGACTTCGAACGGGCGCTCTTGAAGGGGGAGGTAAGAAAACAAACGCTTGCCCTTTGTCAGGTGTCTGTTGTTATTGCTGTTGTTGTATTGTTGTTGTTGTTGTTGTTGTTGTTGTTGTTGTTGTTGTTGTTGCTGTTGCTGCTGCTGCTGTTGGTGGTGGTGGTGCTGTTGCTGTTGCTGATGTTGTTGTTGTTGTTGTTGTTGTCACAGGTGCCGATGTCGGTGCCGCCGTTACTGTCGAAACAGCTGTGGTTGTCGACAACGTTGTTATTCTCACCGTCATTGTTGTTGTCCCCCATGACCTTGTCTATGAACCCCTGATCCCACTATCCCTCTATCCCCTGCACACATCAATCCCATGAGAGGAGCGATTTTCAATTTTTTTTTTGTGGACTTCACTTCATGGTCACAGATTAGAAGTTCAACGTACAACCGCCCAACAAAACATGTCGCAAGGACAAAGACAAAGCAGTCGGAAGGACAATCGGAACGATGGTAGTGTTTCAACAGCGTGCACGTGTATTTGTGACTTGCTATTTTACGCTTGTTTTGTCTGTCCCCTGTGTCCCGTCCTCTACCCTTCCTCATTGGGCAGTGATATCGAAGGAGAGGCAGAATAGGTAAAATCTTTTGAACTTTCTTTGGCAAAGCAGGAAGGAACGATTGGTCATCGGTGATCGGTCCTGTGTGAACAAATCTCCGTCCTCTCAAGGACGCGTGGTCAATGGTCTAACAACTAAGGCATGCAAAACATGAGTACGCTCCCCGCCCCCCGCCCCCCCTACTCATGGGCGTTTATCGCAGGTGGCGAGATGCGAGTTCTTCGGTCCGAATTTCGACAAGGCCATCATCGTGCTCAAGGATGGGACTAGAGTGAGTCAGGACGGGGCTCTGTAGTGGATGATGTCTAGTCATCTGGGTAACAAGGCCTACGGAGATCAATCGCCACTCCTGTCGAAAGCCTAGATAGGACCCCGGAAAGTCGGTCTCTCGGCGGACCCTCATACCATGCTTCGTTGGAGCTAGTTGTGCGCTGGTCCAAACCACGGTTGCGGGTTCATTGTAGAGAAGTTGTTGTATTACAATCGAGCCTCCATCCCGCATCCGCGCAACCCCCCCCCGCGCCAGGCTCCACACCGAAATTATCCCGCAACCGCGGCAACCCCGCCCACAGGCGCAACCACCCGCAATTATCCCGCAACCCCGCAGGCTCCAAAACTCCACAATCCGCAATTTTATGACGGCTTTCCTGCATCCCCCGCAACCCCACTCACAGTTTCAAATTTTGCCGCAACCCCCCCGCGCGCAGCCTCTACACTCTACTCCACACCAGCGATTATCCCGCACCCCCACACGAAGGATCAATACCTCGCAATTGCCCCGCCGTTGCCCCGCAATCCCGCGCGCAGGCTCTGATCGGCGAAGGGTATCCGGAGGAGAGGGCGTTCAGCGACGATAGCCCGATGAAGGTGGTGGGCCTGCTGAGGAATGCCGGCGTGCCCTTCACGACCGAGTTCCGTATGGCCAAGTACTCCAAGCCGAAGTCGTACAAGGTGTGTGCGTGTGCGTGTTCGTGTTCATGCTTTTGTGGTGGAATTGATGTGTGGGTCGTCACATGCATCCGTTTGCCTTTGGTGTTTTTCCGAGCCTAGAGTCGTACAAGGTGTGTGTTGTTGCATTGTGCTGTTCGTGTTCGTGGTTTTGTGGTGGAATGGATGCGTTGGTCGCCGCGTACATCCGTTTTCCCCTTTTGGTATCTCCGAGCTTAAGAGTCGTAGTACAAGGTGTGTGTGCGTTGGACACAAGTGCTAGTCCTATGGCGGTGAAAAATGTGAAGGACAAGACAAACGCCACGTGCAGGTCGTGTGCGTTTGCCGTGGCATCTCCAAGCCTAAATAGTAGAGTCGCATACAAGATGTGAGTGCGTTGGACACAAGTACTATTCTCACGGTGGTGGCTTTAATGTGAAGGACAACAGAAACGCCACTTGCAGGTCGTATGCGTTTGCCGTGGCATCTCCAAGTCTATAGTCTTCCAAGATTTGTGTTGGACAAATTGTTGTTTTTGTTCTGTCACACGGTACTGTAGCAACAGCAACAAGAGACCTTGTGCCGTTTGCCTCGCTTTTTTTCGGCCGACCGGCCGTCTTATGACGTTGTTTTTGTTCGTGCGTTTTTTACGTCTTGTGACACAACCCGGGGCCTGTAGCGAGCCCCCTCACTGACCTCACAACCACAGCAACGATGACCCTCGTGCCGATTTGTTTATAGATTGCCGTGTGCCCACGGCTGCTTCCCCAATCGAAGTATATTGTTGGTACATATCATTCTATTCAACAACGACCCTCGTGCCGATTTGTTTATTATGCTGACTGGCCGTCGTACGACGGTATTGTTGACGTCTTATTCTGACGATGTCCCCCTTCCCCCCGCTCCTGTGCACGTGTGCAAAATTGACGGATGCCGCCGACAACACCTACCTACCTCCCCCCCGAACGGCAGAGCTCCGAAACTTTGGAGGCGGAAAACCGACAAAAGTCTGAAGACGCGGTGCTGGACCGGTTGATGGGGGGCCCGTAGATGATGAATAATCTGGGGGTGGGGGGGGGGGTATACTCATAGTCGTGCATGCCGTAGTCGTTAGACCATTGACCTCGCATCCCTACAAAGCCGGGACGGAGCACGCCGGGTTCTGACCGGGCCAGGCTCTCACATCACCAAGCGCGAAGCGCCGTGAGGTATTCGGCGAGTCGTATGAAGGATGTGCTGCATCCTGCTGCGGGTGTTTGGATTCTTGTGCTTACTTGCTTGCGTATGGATGACAGCGGCGTATGCGTTAATTTATTTTCTGGTGCTTTCACTTCCAGAGACAGTTGTAAGCAATGTGTAACTGCCTCGATGATGCTTGACCATTTTAACACAACGTGGTGCGATCATCCCCCTTGCGCGGAGTGAGGGTTCTCGACCCGCACAACACGATCTACTCGACCACCATTATGGTGACCGCTGGGGGGGGGGGGGGGGGG